GTAGGGACCTAACAGAAGCAGAAGAGATTAGGAAAAGATGGCAAGAATACACAGAAGAACTATACAAGAAAGACCTCGATGTCCTTGACAACCACGACGGTATAATCACTGACCTCGAGCCAGACATCCTGGAATGTGAAGTTAAATGGGCCTTAGAAAGCATTGCTAACAACAAAGCTAGTGGAGGTGATGGTATTCCAGCTGAGCTATTCAAAGTCTTAGAAGATGATGCTGTTAAAGTGCTGCACTCCATTTGCCAGCAAATTTGGAAAACGCAACAGTGGCCACAGGATTGGAAAAGATCAGTATACATTCCAATCCCAAAGAAGGGCAACGCCAAGGAATGTTCAAACTATCGCACAATTGCACTCATATCACACGCTAGCAAGGTCATGCTCAAGATCCTACAAGCTAGGCTTCAACAGTACGTGGATAGAGAACTACCAGAAGTACAAGCTGGGTTTCGAAGAGGTAGAGGAACTAGAGATCAAATTGCCAACATTCGCTGGATTATGGAGAAAGCAAGAGAGTACCAGAAAAATATCTACTTCTGCTTCATTGACTATGCTAAAGCTTTTGACTGTGTGGATCACAACAAACTATGGCAGGTCCTTAAAGAGATGGGAGTACCAGACCACCTCACATGTCTCTTGAGAAACCTGTATAAGGGCCAAGAAGCGACAGTTAGAACCGGATATGGAACAACTGATTGGTTCAGCATAGGAAAAGGAGTACGACAAGGATGTATATTGTCGCCTTGCTTATTTAATATATATGCAGAGTACATCATGCGAAATGCTGGCCTGGATGAATCACAAGCGGGAATTAAGATTGCTGGGGAAAAGATCAACAACCTCAGATATGCAGATGATACCACTCTAATGGCTGAAAGTGAAAAGGATCTAAAGAGCCTCTTGCTCAGAGTAAAAGAGGAGAGCGCAAAAGTGGGCTTGAAGCTCAACATCAAAAAAACTAAGATCATGGCATCCGGCCCCATCACTCCTTGGCAAATAGAAGGGGAAGTCGTGGAAGTAGTGACAGACTTCACGTTCCTGGGATCCCAGATCACCACAGACTGTGACTGCAGCCATGAAATTAAAAGACGCCTGCTCCTTGGGAGGAAAGCGATGGCGAACCTAAACAGCATGATAAAAAGTAGAGACATCACCCTGCCAACAAAAGTCCGCATGGTCAAAGCAATGGTATTCCCAGTAGTCATGTATGGCTGTGAGAGTTGGACTATAAGGAAGGCCGAGCGCCGAAGAATAGATTCTTTTGAACTATGGTGCTGGAGAAGACTCTTGAGAGTCCCTTGGACTGCAAGAAGAACAAATCAGTCAATCCTCAAAGAAATCAACCCTGACTGTTCCCTGGAAGGCCAGATAATGAAACTGAAGCTCAAATACTTTGGCCACCAAATGAGAAGGGAGCACTCACTGGAAAAGACCCTGATGCTGGGAAAGATTGAAGGTCAAAGAAGACGGGGACGGCAAAGGATGAGATGGTTAGACAGTGTCAGCGATGCAACGAACATGAAATTGAGCCAACTTCGGAGGACGGCGGAAGACAGGAGAGCCTGGCGGGAGATTGTCCATGGGGTCGCGAAGAGTCGGACTCGACTGTGCGACTGAACAACAACAACAAATCAATATTTTAATTATGTTGGCACGTACGCCACATGTAACTCCTTTAGAAAGGAGAAATCGTGGTTATTAAGAGCATGTTCTACTCATATTTTAAATATATGAATCACTCTAAAGCAGGATACTGTTCATAGGCAAGATCATTCTAGAGATATACATACAGAATTTGTCTTGAAGTTTTCCAGTGCTTTGTCTGTCCTGGAATTTTGCACAGTCGTAAAAAACCCAACCCTTTAATTCATAAGATTCTAGTCCCTGCTTAGCTTGAGAAAAGCTTTAAAAATCTGAAAAAGAATCCCAAGAGCTATACAATTAGTTCTGTGTATTTAAGAAGAATATGGGGTTCTTTTTCTCAAATAGTAGCTCTCTGTGTCACATGGTGTACTGTGTTTGAAACTAAGGCGACTTCAATAAGTTGATGCAGTATGGCATTTGGATTTGTTTCCTAAGAATTCAATCCCACAGGGCATACTCAAGCTTTGGATTCCAGACAGAGGGTAAGATCCAGTTAGCTTTTTTATTCAGTCTTGCCCAATTCTCCTCCTTAATACATCATAGCCATTTTGGCCCTGGTCACACGGGAGGATTTGATCCGCAAGAGGGACGGATCAGTGGTGCATCAAGCGGGCGCGATCACACCGCAACATCTGGGAAGCGGCGCACACCCGTCCCCGATCCATCTCTTCCGGCCAAAGATGCGGAGTTAAAATAAACCTGCAAAGCACTACTACATACTGGAAAATCTGCGGCATGGGCGGCCGTGTGATCGCCGATGCGCCTGTCTCCCGCAGCATGCGAGGCCCCCTGCCAAACTACACAGGCGCACACATGTGCAGCTGACTCGCCTCGCTCTCCTGTCCATGGCTTCCCCCTCGCATCTGATCACGCTGGGGAGCATATGTGCGGCGGCTCGGGGGATCTGTCTGATCCTGCTGCCGCGGTTCTCTTTTGCTGCGGCTCTAAAAAGCCGCACTTCCGCCCCAGCTTTTCCTGCGGTGTGACCGGGGCCTTTGTTAGCCAAAATGGATCCTATCTTCTTCCTTTTTCAAACTGTGAATAAATTGGTTGGCTTCAACCCAGAAATTAGGAATATATTTTGGACATTCAGTTTGCAAGCAGACTGCCAGTATGTTTTATGTAGAATTTGTATGTGATACTGTCCTGGGCAGTGGCTAGAAAGGTTCTCTGATGGCTGCCACCACTCTGGTATGGGTCTCCTTGGGAAGGCCCAGAGCACCCCCTACCCATTTATACCTTCCTTGTCCAGTAGGTTTCCCCTTATAAGTGACCAAATGAGGCGTGAGGACTCAGGCAGAGTAACAAATTATTTTATTTAAAGAGATTTAACAGCAACTTTAATTTAATTTAATAACATGTTGACAAATGAACACAGTAAAGGTAGGTAAACCAGCAAAATAAGAAATCCTAATGAGTCTGATTATACCGTCCCTAGCCTTCTGTAGGTATTTGGCCTACAGCGGACCCACCCCTTTTGGATGAGGGATCCTTCCATCTGCAGGAGCTTCATAGTAGCTCTGCTTCCAAGGAGAGAATACCGTCCCACTTTGGGCAACGCCTTTTATTCCTTCTTCCCAGGCACCACCTTCTACTCCTCTGCTGGTGTAAGTTTCCCCTCCAAATCCCCTGTTAACCAATCACAGGGTTCAGAGGAGACCTGGGAAATGTAGGCCCTGATAGCTACTCTAATACAGGCTTCCCTAGAGCCACTAGGCCTCCCTAGAGCCTGTAGGCCACACTACTATAGGCCTAGGATCATGACAGATACTAAGAGAGATTTTTGTCCCTTCTTAATAAATTACTGTTATTTCACAATAAGAATTTGCAATGGGTAGCTGTGTTAGTATATAGCAGCAGAATAAGTCAGGAGTCCAGTGGCACCTTAAAGACTAATGGAATTAATTCCAGCATAAGCTTTCGGCCTAATGGATTTACACTCCAGTGTGTCTGGAGCCTAAGCCATTCTTTCCTTCTTGGTACAAGAAGTGTTCAATTGTTCAAGTGTTCAAGTGTTCAACATTGTTCTATTATCTGCTGGACACAATCTGAATTCTGAGTCATGCAAAAAGGAGGCCTGGATGTGCATAAACCTGGCTTGTTGCTGGGCTTGTGCCTCTCCCCTCCCTCCTTGTTGCAGACAATACCAAAGGAATTCTGATTTAAAAATAACTGTTTACCCATACAAGTGTGTGGCCTAACCCAGGTTAGTCCCCCCCCCAAGAAACAGGATTTAATCCCAGTAGAGAATTCCATTTGTGGCAGGGTTGTGGGGCAATGGTTAAGGTGCTCAACTGTGTCCATATATTATTGGAAATTGGGGTTAGTTTTCAGCTGGGATTCTTTTTTCACACTCTGCAAAAACAGAAGATGGAGGAGTGAGGGACAAGGTAAGCTAGGGTTGCCAAGTTGATCGCCGGGAGCGGGGGGCTCCTGGCTGGCCGCGCACACTGCACGCACATCACCCAGAAGTGACGGGAGGACGTCGCGCACGCTGGGAGCGGGGCCACGGCCATACAAGGGAAAACCATAGAGTTTTCCCTTGTATGGCCGTGGCCCCGCCCCCAGCGTGCCCGGCGTCCTTCCGTCACTTCCGGGTGACGCGCACGTCGGGGAGGAGTTCCCCCTGGGGCCCGATCCGGCGGCGCCAGGGAACGGGCCTCTGGGGCGGGGGTTTTCCCGCCCCCCGGGGGAACTTGGGATCCCTAAGGTAAGCAATAGGCAAGGTTCATGCACATTATTGCTAGCTTGCTGCAGTGTCTGAACACAGTTCTATGCTTAGAACATAATACAATGAAGCAGAGCTGAAGACGTCTTGTACCTGGAACAAGGGACAACTTGGTTCCACTTTAAAAGTACTTCTGCCCTTAAGAACGCAAAAGTGCACTTGCATAATCAAAGGAACCTTCCTACCTGTACATGTAAACACAAAAATGAGCTCCTTTATATTAGCAGTTAGATGCTCCGCGGGAGCAGTGATGCCATGAGATATTGCCACATTCAGGATAGCTGGAACCGCTTGGCCTTCAGCCTATGGCTTTGTTTCGTCCTGTAGGTGTTCACAAATGGCCATGTTAATGTGCCTAATGATTTCATTACTCATTGCAAGCCTGGCCAGACTGCTTGACCTTCACTGATCTTGGTATTTCTGGATTATGTCCCTGCTTCTCCCCCCCAAACCCCTTCCTAAATTTCTCTCTTGTGTGACAAATTGCACTGACTGTTTGCTTCTGAAGGGCGCAGGCATTTGCAGCTTAACACTTTGTTAAGTTTTAGATTGATGACTCACTTTAATGAATGCTCATATGAATATTTGTTGGGTTCCTTTTTATCTTTAATCAGTGTGTCATGCTGAACTGAACGCCATAATGAACAAGAACTCTGCGGACGTGAAAGGCTGCAGCATGTATGTTGCCTTGTTTCCGTGTAATGAATGTGCCAAGCTTATCATCCAGGCAGGTAAGGAAAGGTTTGCCAGCTTGATATGTCACTGTTGCCACACTTCCCGTTTGTGGGGCACCTCATCGCAGATGTATTTTGGTTTTCAAATCGTGGCTGTTTAGATCTAAATTAATTGCACTATCAACTTTTGAAACACTCCTTGTGTTTCCTCTACTTGAGTGGTGCCAGGTTTTCCAGTGCTAATTGCATCCTCTGTGATTCTTAGCTTGTTTTTAATTTAAGTTTGCAACTTCCTAGTCCACGAGCTGCCAAGGAACTGTGCAGGCATTGCATATAATTACTGTCAATTTACAGTGCTCTGACACATTTGTGAAGAGAGAGTTTGGAGGTGGAGGGGGTGCAGTGGGAAAAGAGAATAAACTTGGTGTGACAAAAGATCTACTGGGAGTATATATGTAACATATTAATTTGAACATTAGACATGGTCAGCACTTGAAGATTTTATATCTCTGGTCATAAATGTCGTAAGACTTCTGTGATCTCTCTTATAATTATGACTTTCATTACAATGGCTATAAATCTTCCCTACTGCAGCAAATATGCTGCTCTGACTGTTGGGCATTTTTTTCATCTGATTAGATTCTAGCATAATATCTTTGACTATGACAGGTGGAGAATGCAGAGAGAGATGGCTGATATGTTGCACAGAAGGGGTGGTACATTCCCCTGCACAGGAACCCTGTCGTTGGGGGCAAATCTGTTTGCTGTCCAGGGTGGTAGGCGGGCTTTGACCTTACTGCAACATTGTCTCCAATGTAGCAATTTGGGTTGGATCCAAACAGCTTTTCTACTGGTGAAGCAAGGAGGGTGGGTGTCCACTTTAACCATCAAAAAAAGTATGCTGGGAATCATGGGACTGGCATGAACCAAAGCCATGTGAGACAGAGTTGTAGTAATTGAGTGAGATTGAGTGAAAAGGTTGTCTATGATCCAACCCTTTATTTTTTTCTCACTTTTACTTACATGAGAGCATCCAAAGAGATGTACTGTTGATGGATTTAAACATGATCCGTCTGACCTTAGACACGGAGATTTAAGCCTGTTCTTATGTGTGCAGGCTTTAAAAGGAGATTTGGCTTTTTAAAAGATTAGATGGATTCGTAGAGAGTAGGTCCATTGAAGTCTATTAGCTGTGATGACTAAAGAGAACTTCCACATCCTGAGGCACTGAGCATCTGAATATCACTGCTCAGAAGTAACATTTGGCCTCTATGCCCTCTGTGGTGGCTTTCCAGGGCAACTGGTTGACCATTGTATCAAACAGATGCTAGACTGGATGGACTGCTAGGGGCACCTTTCATGCCCTGTTCTGGGTTCTGTTTGTTGATCCTATTAAAGTGTAACAGGAAGTTGGAAGAATGGAACAGAATGCTTAGAACTGACTTTTTCTACATGGGCATACCTCACAATTGTTTTGACCTTCAGAATATCATCTGCCGCATATGGAAAAGTTTTAGCTAGATATAAATGGGATTGTTTTGACACAAATATAACGTATTGGCAAATTCATCCCATGTTCTGGCTGGCTAGAATTTTAGAAAATGAAAGGAGAGAAGACTTCCTGCAGTTAATACCTTTAAAAGTTAAGTCCATTATCAGGAATGAATTGAGAGAAGAAGAAAAAAATGATACATTTAACATGTGTTATATAAAAGAACAAGTAATACCTATTAGTGGCATCAAAATGAGATTCTGTAGCTCATGGCTATGGTAGAATTATTTAACACAAGGTAAAGGGCAGTTATAAAATAAAACCACCAAAATACACTATAAATGTAAAATAAGAATCGGTAAAATGAGAAAAATTAAGTGTAGGGTACATAAATGTAAGTTGGATCTAATAATAATTGCCTTTTTAGTGATAAAGACTACTTATGGTTAATTCTGTAGCATATATACGTTTTATGGGAGAAAGAGAGCGTGCTTTTGAAATCCCCCACTGCAGTGCAGTTATTTCTTAATTCCTAATCAGATGGATGCTCCAAGTAATAATGGGGCAAGACTGCCAAAATGAGTTTTGCTTGTCATTATGTACTTTTGTATGTTTAAACAGTAGTGCGGTAGTTATGCGCTTGTCGTTTTAAGTCCTGTTCTTTATAAATATTGTACAGACTTGGGTTTGGAACTTCCAGAATGTTTCTGCAAATGGAAGGATATTTGCCTGTGGGTTGTGACTTCTTTACCTCCCCCCCCCCCCCCCCGCAGCCTTTGCCTAGGGCAAACTGCCCTCAGAAATACTGTTCCTGGCATTCCCAGGTCCCCCTGGAATTTCAGGTGGGGGAAACCATTTTATTTATGTCATTTATACCCTACCTTTTCCCAAAGTGGGGACCCCAAAGCAGCTTACAAGATTCTCCTCCCCTACATTTTATCCTCACAGCAACCCTGTGAGGTAGGTTAGGCTGAGAGTCTGTGACTGGCCCAAGGTCGCCCAGCAGAGCTTCCATGGCAGAGTAGGAATTCAAACCTGGGTTTCCCAAACCCTAGTTCAACACTCTGATCGCCACACCATGCTGGACCAATGTTCCCTCTAATTTTTTTCCTCCTACTGAGCAGAGCAGCTAACATCCTGAGCAAAACATAACTGCTGTAATCTTAAAACGGGCAATGGGCAGTGCAAGACCCTGCGTGGCTCCATATTGCTGCTGAGTGAGGCTTCCTGTGTTAATGAGCTCACACGCACCGCTTAGAGGGAACACTGTGCTGGGCTGCAGCCGGAGCGAGAAGGCAAGGAAGCTGTGCTCCGCAAACAGAAATCCTTCCATCTGAAGAGACGTTCCAGTGCATCCAAGCCTCAGTGTCAATTAATCCGTCACCCACTGATTTGTCTTGAGGAATCGTTCTTTCATGTTCAGGATGGACTTTGTTGGAATAGCATTTTGACAGTGAGTTAATGACAGCATTAAAGGGTGAGAGGAGTGGGGCAGAAGGGGTGGTTGAAACTGCAGGACAGGAGTTAATTTTGAAATTACCTAGAATCGATTTAAATTATATAGGGCTAATCTACTGATTTTGCAACAGACAAATTTAGGCATAAAAGTTCCTTTTTCAATGTAAAGCACTGTAGATGCTGATGGGCGGCAGTAATTTCAAATTCAGCAAACGAATGCTAGCAAAGTAGGCAACGGTTGAGTTAGCAACTGTTTTACAATTAGAAGTTCATTGCTGAGTATCTGGCACTCCCATTCAGGCAAGCATTCTGTATAAATTCTAGCCATGCAGCTCTGATCTGGATAGCCCAAGCTAGCCCAATCCCATCAGATCTCGGAACCTAAGCAGGGTCGGCCTTGGCTAGTATTTGGAAGACCCCCAGGGAACACCAGGGTTGTGACGCAGGGGCAGGCAATGGCAAACCACCTCTGAAACATCTGTTGCCTTAAAAACAAGTCTAGCTCGCCACCTAGTGGTGCATAATGCTAAAAGAGCTGGAACATTTGGCTGCCAAACAATCTTAGGATCTCCTGGCTATTCTATACACAATGTCATACAATAATTCTACACACACAGTGTCATACAAGTCTTCTAGCCATGAACAATCTTCTCGCCTAAGATATACAAAAATATAAACATTCATCTCTTTATATGTGTTGTACCTGAAAACCTGCTGCTGTATTCTTCTACCTATGACCTTGAGGTGCAGATGTGTTTCTCGGCCTCTGTACCAACTCTGTCCCTTTCCAAATTAAGCGGCTGTTATTTATAACCACAGTATCTGACATGTCAGGATACCATTGCTCCGTATCTGTCATACTAGTTCTAGTTGTTGCTGTCATGTTAGGTGACCTATTTTAGCTTGTTTCTAATGTGTGGTAACAGAATGTCATAATTCTGTACCTTGTTAACAGAAGGTGTTTGGTTTGAAGAAAAAAAGGTGCTGTATATAGAAAGCACATTGAATGGAAGTGAGATACAAATTACCACACTTCTCCGTGCCTACAGCTTCTGTAGAACTTCAAGCAATTTAATGTGTGCACGTGCCTTCTCATCTTCGGTATTTATCAGTTTTTCTAAAAGTTGACAGTATGTGCTGCCCTTGTTGTCAGACATACTGGGTTGAATCAGACATCTTTCTGGTTCAGGCTCACTCAGTTCCCCTCCTCACTGCAGCCTATGTCCTATGTGGCTTTTTTCCCTTCAGGTCCCATAATCTTCAGCATAATTCCTTCCTTCCTTCCTTCCTTCCCTTATTTAGTCCCTCCCTCCCTCCCTCCCTCCCTCTGCCTTTCTACCTTACAGGTACTCAAGGGAGTTTACAGTGTGAACAGCAATAAAACACAATATCAATATTTAAAAAACACTAATTTACAATCAATAACTTTAAACTGCCAGTAGGCAGAACTCAAACTAATTAAAAGCGGACATGAGTAAAAACATCTTTAACAGCCTCCTGGGAAGGTTGTTCCATAATCATGGGGCTGCTGCTGAAGAGGCTCTCTCTCACGTACCCACCAGATGAGCTTCTTTGGGTTGATGGGACAGTCAAGAGGGGCTATCCCTGTGGTCTTTGTTCCTGGGCAGGAATGTATGGGAGAAGATGGTCCTTCAGATATGAAGATGGTCCCAAGCCATGTAGGCTTTTAAAGATCAAAGCCAACACCTTGAATTGGGCTTGGGAGTGGATCAGAAGCCAGTGTAATTGCTGTAATATTGGGACCACAGAATTCCAATAACTGGCATGGACTAGCAGTCTAGCCACACTATTCTTCACTAGCTGCAGCTTCTAAATGCTCTTCAGGGATAGTCCCAAGTAGAGCTCATTGCAGTAGTCAAGTCTAGATGTTAACTAGGGCATGGATCACAGTGGCTAGATCAGACTGCATGAGGATTAGACACAGCTGGCCCACTAGTGAAAGCTGGACAAAAGCACTCCTAGCCACAACAGCCACCTCATTTTCTAAGGTGACTTGCTGTGTTGAGCAGCATTCCCAAGCTGCGAACCTGACTTTTCAAGGGGAGTGTAACTCCATTCAAAATGGGAGATTTGTCAGGATTAAGTTTCAGCTTGTTCACCCCCCACCCAGCCCATTACTGACAGCAAGCACCGGTTTAGAACGTCGACAGCTTCCTCAGAATTAGGTGGAAATGAAAAGTAGAGATGGGTGTCATCTACATGTTGGTGACACTGCAGCCCAAACCTCCTGATGACCTCTCCTAGTGGTTTCATGTAGGCATTAAATAGCATGGAGGATAAGATCGAATCCAGTGGAACTCCACAGGCCAGAAGCCTTGGGGTTGGAGCAGGAAGCCCCTAGCACCCCCTTCTGGGACCAACATCCCAGATAGGACTGGAGCTGCTGTAACACCGTGTCCCTTAGTCCCAGCACTGAGAGGTGGCACACCAGGATACCATGGTCAATGACACCGAAGGCTGCCGAGAGAGCCAGCAGAAGTAGCAGGGTCACACTCCCCTTGTCTAATTCCTGGCAGAGGTCATCAACCATATGTTCCAAATCCCAACCTAAAGCCAGATTGAAACGGGTCCTGAAAATCAGTCTCTGCCAAGAGCCCCTGCAGCTGAGAAGCAACCACTCACTTTGCCCAAGAATGGAAGACTGGAGACTGGCTAGAAGTTCTCCAACACAGTATTTTATTTTATTTTATTTTATTTTATTTTATTTTATTTTATTTTTTAGTCCTCCCTTTATCACTAGTGGACAAGCTGGCTGGATCCAACCCATTTGGCATTTTCACACCAAAAACAATTGATAAGTATGACCTTGTACTTAAAATGCAATATCTACCGTCAACAGGGCTCCTGTTGCTTATTATGGCAGACAGAATTCTGTAAGCCTGCGGTGTTCTTTTTCCTTTGTTTGCCAAGTGGTAGGGAAGCCCTGCTGAATATGTGGAAATAATTTTGTTGGGAACAGAGCTGCTTTGCAATTTGAAGATTTGCATGTATATCTTCTGTCAACAACGTCTCTAAATAGGAATTCCTTTGGGGCTCTGTAAATCTGTCTTACCTTGAGTAACATCTCTGCTTATACCTATTCTAGGTATAAAAGAAGTTATCTTTATGTCAGACAAATATCACGACACTCCTGAGATGACAGCTGCACGGCGTTTGTTTGATTTAGCTGGAATTATATACAGGTGAGATGATTCGCAGGGGCTTTTCCCTTTCGTATTCCTCCATGATTTTGTGTTATAGTGGAGTCCCATACCAACTAAGGATCTGGTGTTCATTTTCAGCTATAGGGTTCTTCCTTTGTTTAAGACACTGATATTTAGTAGAGCCCATCTGGTGTAGTGGTTAAGAGTGTTGGACTAATATCTGGGAGACTCGAGTTTGAATAGAAGCTCGCTGGGTGACCTTGGACCAGTTACACCCTCTCAGCCTAACCTACCTCACAGGGTTATTGTGAAAGTAAAATGGAGGAAAGGTGTAAGCTGCTTTGTGTTCCCATTGGAAGAAAGATGGGGTCCAAATGAGTTAAATAAATTTTAAAAATGATGTCACTCCAAGGGGTATTGCTGTTGGCTTTTGACAACATTTTCTGTAGTCAGTTATGCATTCCTTTTGTGTATGATGTTACAGTGAATTCAGATATGTTGCCACCTAAAAATACACTTGGGTTCCCTGAAAATTGGGTCTGCCAATCTGTCTGCAGGGAAAAGCAGTTCATGACAGAGCGTTTTTAACTGTAAATACTTAATCTCTATGGGGACTATGACCTTTTATGTAAAACCTTTTAGCATCATGCTATCTTGAATTGGATACATTCTATAAGCAGAAGGCTCCTTTCGTTTCCATAAAAAAGAAAACTGATTTCTGCCCATTTTCCCTTCCTGCTGCAGGTCCACAAACCTTTTTTGCTTTTTAGAGGATGCAAAGGGTTGCAGTAGAGGTGGGAAAGATCCATTCTGCTCATGGTTATTTGGATCCAGTTCATTCTGTATTTCTGTATGACAGCTAGCATGCTTGAACTTTCCATCTGGATTTCTCAAAAATACACATTTCATCTTATGGCCTAGGACCCACGTACTTGTACACTGAAAACATTTTGTCTGGGTAAAACAAAGTAAGTTATTTAGGAGTAAAATCTTCTCTAAGGAGAAGACCCAGGCAGATTGCTTTGGTGGAATCTCTAGCCCCAGGGAAGAAGGGGTAGACTTTTTGTTAGGTCATGACAGAAATAAATTATGCTTTGGTAACTAATTGCTGGAGGCGGTCACACACGTGAGATAAAGTGGGGGGGGAAGGGAAGCGAGGCTATTTCCTCCAGAGGAATTTGACCCACAGTTGCGTGATCGCACAGTCCTTGGACGCTGTGGGCACAGCCCACCACTGCATAATCAGACGCAACCGTGGGTGAGTCAGGGATTGTTGGGTTTTTTTGCTGTTTGTTTCCGATGCGCTTACATGAGGAATCGATGAATCGCATCTCCGCACTGAGGTCTCCCTATGGAGTTTACAATGATGTGCATACTGAGAAGGGGGGGGGAACAACGGCACGGAGTTGGGATGGCCTGATCAGACCATCCCGATGTCATGAGAGCACACTGGAGCGATCAGACACGGGAAACTCCATCTGTGGCCCGTCGCAACCCGTTTACTACCGGATTTTCCTTGGTGTCTTTTTACTCCACTTCTGCGGTGGAGCAAAACAGGTTGCCGACGGATGTGGGGTGCTTCCCAGATGTTCGTGTCTGATCACACCCTTTAAATCCGCCCAGCATTCGCACCTATGGCGGGGCTAATTGTGCGTGTGATTGCGCCCGCTGTCTCTGAGGCAGTAAACACTAGTGTGAGGAGGCAACCTCAGGAGACGGTGTTGCCTCTATGCCCTGTTTATTGTCCACTATGTGTAATTGGATGCTAGGGTAGATGAACTACTGTCTGCTCTGCAGATCTCCTCTTATGTTAATATGCCGGCATGTATGATTGTTCTGACATTGAAAATTTTAGACTGACAGCTAGTTGCTGTCAGTTTGGTGTAGTGGTTAAGAGCAGTGGACTTTAATCTGGAGAACCAGGTTTGATTCCCCACTCCTCCACATTTAGCCAGTCACAGTTCTCTCAGAGCTGTTCTCTCAAAGCTCTCTCAGCCCCACCTACCTCACGGTGTCTGTTGTGGGGAGAGGAAGGGAAAGGGACTATAAGCTGCTCTGAGACTCCAAGTGAAGGGCAAGGTATAAATCCAATTCTTTTTCTGCTGCTGCGGCTGCAATCCTGAACTAGTATGCAATGTCTGAAGTTCCATTCCAAGAATTCTTTGGGGGTCCCCAGTCTGGTATCCTTGGGCCCCATGGTGCTTGCTGACACCTTTCCCGGCACCCACCAAGTCCTTTCAGAAAGTAGGCGGGGCCAGGTGAGGTCTTTGCCCAGCAAGGCTTCTGATTGGACACTGGAGATCTGATTAACTGTGCAGATTTAAAAAGACAATGACAACATTGTTGTGGCAGCAGCTGCCATCACAGAATAAGGATATTCACTGTGTGACCGAAGGTATGCTGTGTATGCGCGAGAAAATATTTTTAAACAGTATGCTCATTTTAAGAAGGTATCCTGTTTAAACAGAACTTCTTCCTGAAATGTTGAAGCGCTGCTATTAGAATGATGCATAGCCTCAGCTCCTGACACTTTGTGGATGCCTCCGCCTCCTACGGCAGCCGTTTTGTGGTTGTGCCCACTACCCCGTGTCAGAATTCCAAAGTTGCCCGTCAGCTCAGGAAGGTTGGGGACCCCCCGATACAGCTGATATCACAAGTGAAACCTTTTCGCAACATGTCCATGGTTAGAAGGCCTCCAGCATTTCCATCTGCTGGGCTGGATGAAGTTTGTGTGTAATCACCTTCCCAGGCTCGTCCTTCGTTGTGTTTACTGTTTTTGGTCTTTTATATTGATTTGTGAGGACATGGCTATGCTTAATGAATCTCAAGAAGTGAATTGTCAAGCTTAATGAGTCACTAAATCCACACTATTTGCATAATCCTCTGTTTACTGGTAGATTGTGAAATATATACACCGTCCCCAAATACCTTTCTTGCTAATTGCGGCAGCAGATGCTCTAATGATGGGAAAGGATAATCTTAGTTGGTAATATTAATTTTACAATTGTATAGTTGTGAATAAATCCATATTAGCTAATTTATATATTTTTGTCTCCCTTGCGTTTCCCCTTTGCTCTAAAACTCCCGGAACAAACTTTGCAAGTTTCTGTATGAAAAATTGGTGTGAAAAAAGAAAGATATCAAATTTTACAGAAAAACTGGTTGCATGATGCTGCCTCCTGCAGCTAAGTTGTTAGAAATCCTTTGACTCCTGGCTAATTTATGAACTCCAATAGCTGAGAAACATACAGTCTAAGCAAACCTGTGTGTCTGTTTGTCTTAGTCTTTCTTGTCCGGATTTCTCTCAGTATGGTGCACTATAATTGGCTCCTGTAGAGATAAAAACACAGAGTGAATCCAAGGATATTTTTTTTCCCCGTCTTAAAATTTAGTTGGGAGCCAAAGCAAACAAAATGTTTAACTACTTCTCTAGTTAATATCTTTTTCTCTTTTCTTTATTTTTAGGAAATTCAAACCAAAGTGCAGTAAGATAGTCATTGATTTTGATTCAATTAACAGCAGATCAAGTCAAAAGCCTCTGTGAAATACATCTAATTACATTTCTAGAAGATTGTGATTATCCTTTTCTGAGAAGTTGGGAATGCCTTTCATCTTGCAGTTAGGCATCACTTTTTGATAGCCACTACTGTATGCGTCTGAAGCATATGTTGGGCTGACAGAATTGTCACCCTTTGCCACACCCTTAAACTTTGACTTTCTGTACTTTTCTAAACCTAAATGGAATCTATAAATGAGACCTACACTTTTGTATGAACCATAAGAAAGCTGTCCTATTTCTTATATCCATTATACAATGTCTGAGCTGAAATCCCAGTCCAATAACCTATGAGCAATTGACTATAGACGAAAACCCCTATGGAAACCTTCAGTAACACATATGTATAGGATGTTTACTAGCCCAGAAGTTCAACAGAAAGCATAACTATTAACAATGATAATGTTGACATTCAAACAATAAGCTAGACATCTATGTAACAGGCAGAATATTATGTTGTGTGTGATACCTATGCTGATACATTACACCTTGGTATTTTACCAGATGTTCATTTCTTTAATTGCTTCTCTTGCTGCAGCGTAGCACATGAGCATGTGTTCAGTTACATTTGAAGAATGTTTTGTATTAGATGTAGTTTCAGAGTAGCTTTAATTCCTTTTTCCCAACATGCTTTCAGTTTAGGAAAGGGTAAGTGAATAAATCATTTGGCTCTCACCAATGGGACCCTGTTTGGAGCTGGTTTTAGTGATTAAAAGGAAACTACTTTATTGGTCTAAATTTCTACTAGGCAGTCCACCATACTCCAGTTCTGAGACCATCCTCTGAGGTATCTTAATCACTTCTTTTCCTCAAAAGGAAAACAAGGAGATTCAGTCTGTGTTGAGGCTGTACATGCCAGAAATCGTAATTATGGTTTTAGCTTGCTTTTCGTTGTTAAAAACTGGCCGTGTGCCATACATTTTGGAAACACTGACTAAAACTAGATCCCATTCAGTTTTTCAGTATCTTTCTGTATCTCCCTCTTCAATCTTATAGGGTTTTTAAAAAGTAAATAAACCTAATTGTGTGTTTAGATGATGTTTCAAATCCCAAAGATATTCTTTCCCACCCAAATATTGTGATGTTTCAATGGACTTTTATTTTCTGTGTGAAGTCTCTCTCTGTGTTAAGATGTTATGTAATTTGGCCTGCTACCAGTATTATTAAAGTCTTACTAAAATGCAACTTTACTGAAATGGACTCATTATTATAATATTATGCCTTGTGCTTGGCTGTTGTCTAGAGTGCTGCTGTTTCTGCAATCATATGCAAAGCATATTTCACACATTTGGTATCTCATTACATAAAGAGTAATGATCAGAAATTACTTGGCTGTTGAAGAAAGCTTATGGCGCTGGTATGTTGGTTATGGTGGCAAATGTGTAAAAATATTTTCTGTTCGGCAGCAACCAAGATTGCTCTCTAACTTCCTGAATTTTCCATCTGAAATTTAGCTTAATTAGTTCTGAAGGTTTTTCCATGTGTGGGTGAGTCCTTTGGTCGTTAGTGGAAATAAAGCTTCTAAAGCTACTTTCAGGGAGAAGAATATCTACTTTTAAATTTTTTAATGGTTTGTATGTTTTTATATTTTGAAGGAAAACTGATAGACACTTGCACTCAGCCCAGTTTTTCTTCCTGACTTGCCTATCGTGTGGGAGGCCAGATGACTGAAAGAAAGAAAAAAAAAAAAGTGGGGCCAGTGAATGAAGCTAGAAGAGAGGCTCATTAGATGCTAGGAAATAGGGGTGTTTTTAATGGAGCAGTGTTATCGCTCAATACAAGATAATGTTATTTATGCTATCTCCTATCTGATCTAGGTCAGCCTAAGAGACAGTGTAAGTAGACTTGTGACAAAATTGAACAAACTGAATTGATGCTGAGGAAAGATTTCACTTGATTTTCGAAAGCAAGGACGGAGAGCTTCCGGTTAATGGCGACACGCTAGCAGACGTCTCTCCTGGACCTCCGGGGAGATGATCTGAGCGCCTGCGGTGAGGATGGGGCTCGATTGTCCATTGCCCCCCCCCATGGAGCCAGTGCGAAAGGCTCCTTGCCATGGGGCTTTTGAGGGGTAGCCTCTTCCGCAGCAAGATGCTGCGGAATTGAGTCACTCCTCCGCCCTGATGGTCCTGGCCACTGTTGCGTCCGTACGGATCCAGAGCCGCCGGCCGGGACAAGCATTGGAGATTGGGCGATTTAACTGCGATCGAGCAAGGTCCCTGGACCAACAATGAACAGTGAGTCAAGTAAAAAAGAGATGTCGAAAAACTAAAAGAAAGCCCCCCCGGGAACAGCGAGACGAGCGAGCGGGGGAGGGGTTCCTCCCACATGCATAAACAAAACAATGATTTGCCAAGGGGGAAGCAGGAATAAACAGGTTTGGCAATCCTAGTGTGACACAGAGTGTTGGACTGGACTGAAATCTTATGTTCTTATGTTAACACTTATACAAGCTAATGTAAGGATCTCCTATACTTGGGGTTTTAGTTATTAGTGGTTTTCTTTCCTGTATCCTTAGTTGTAGTTGTTTCCCCATCCCATTTTTTCTTTGTAGTTTATAGTCTTTAGAAAATGCAATAAAAAATTCCCTTTCGGGGGTTCAAAAAAGGGGGGGGGAGATTTCACTTCAAAGAGTTAACTGCATTCAATGATAGGTAAGGATTTGAGAGCTTTTGGGGAATTCAGCATTGTTCTTAAACTAGAGAGTGACTTTCTTCCCTCCTTCAATTAAAATCATACAATATCTTCAGGCTCTTTAGTATCTTAACATGGTGGGAAGTGTGTGAAAGGAAGCTGGAGGGGTGGAGAATACTATTTACAGCAAAGAAGCAGGGGCCGATCAGGATTCTTAATCCACCCCCCCCCATGTCATCTCACCATTCAGCTCCTTTCCTCTGATACTTTCTGTGCCATATGGCATGCTTCAAAACAAGTAGTTCTCAGAATGACAAGAAGAAACACTGGGAGTGGAGCAATATTTATTGGAATCAGTGCTATTAAATTTATTCACAAATGATCTGGAGTTGGGTGAAAAGGGAGGTAGGCAAATTTTGCAGCTGATGACCAAATTGTTGAGGAAGGCAGATATTTTCAAACTGAGTAATCGAACGATACTGGAAGGTTACATGAAGTCAAACGTAGTGCTCATTAGGACAAAAGAATTCTTACTTCACATTCACAACAGTGAAGGCTAAATTAGCCACTGGTTTTCTGGAAAGAGATCTTGGGATCATAGTAGAAAATTCATTGGCTCGTGTTACAGCAGTCCGCCTGTGGAACACTTCTGTAATCTCTTTCATCAACTTGAAAGGAGTAACCAGATTGTTACATAAGTGTTCATGAGAGAAGAATACTGACAGTTTAGTGGTGATGTCTCAAAACCCTTTTATTTCAAGGGCACACAGTTTCATTTTGAAATCTGAGCCCTTGGAGTGTTTAGTTCTAAATTACAGGGATAAAAGGCGCAGATCTAAAACCTGGCATCCAGATCTGAACCATAAAGAAGGGGCTTTGAGACATTAATTTACATAATCCAGAGTATAGCCTGAAAGGACAATGCAGCATTCTTCCAGGTTACAAAATATTAGATAAGTGTTTTCATAAAGTAAACTGTATGGCTTAAAATAAAATCTGACATTTAAGATAGGAAGGTTAGCCCATGAGGTGCTGAGCTGAGGGAAATAATGCAATCTATACCTGTGTCTGAATGTAGGTAATGCTCCTATACGTTACCAAAGATTACTCTGAAGGCAGAGGGAGGAGGGGTTCTTCCTCATGAGGTGAATCGACTGGTCATTAGAAGAACTGTGTCTCATCCAAATACACATTTAAATTATAACACTTTAACAATGCTTCTAGCAGTTATGAACAGCGTGGTAGTCCATTTCCATACTGAGAGTGAAGCAGTATCTGCCCGGTGCCTGCCTGCAGCTACCTTATTAGAAGCTAGTGAGGCTTTAATGAAGCATATGGTTAATCAAAACATGCAGATATTTAATGCCTGATCACAGTAACTTTCTTCTTAATGTTGCTGATGTTTTGGAGGAGTGGAATTGTGCTGTGCAGAAATGTTTTTGGCATTTCCCTGTTCCTGTCAGCGGGGTATATTGTAAATAGGTGGGTGTCTGAGGGATGTGTTTCAGAATGGAAGAGTTATGATAAGTACTTATTTGGCATTTGTGCCATAATGACACCAAATCTGAAGGGAGTGTTGCTGCCATCAATAGATAACATGAAAGGCCCACACTGTTCATTGGAAGTGCTACCCTCGTACAAGCCTGAGGCAGGCCATTCTGTGTCATTTGTTTATGCCCAACACTAATGAGACAGATCAAAACAATCAGCGTGATGATGGTCTTAAGCAGGACCTGCATGCCTGAAGAACAGAATGTGCATAACAAAAGAGTTGGATCAACTATATATTAGGTGCTCTATATTAGCTGCTAACTGGAGAGACAAGGCAGGGCCTTCCATAAATATGTGGCATAGCAAGGTTATGGAATCTATATATAATGGGGGGAAATCACTGATCAAATAACTCGAAGTAATATGGATATGGATATGTACTCCAAGTTCGTAGTAAAGTGATTTCCTGTATTAGGTTATCTGGCTTCTCACAATGTGGTTCCTAAAAAAAGTGGTTCATATGAACTTGCTTAATATCTGACATTTAAAAGATCCACTTCTCTAATGCAACATAATAGAGAAGTATATTTCTACGACATCCTATGCAACTTATATGAGAAACCTATATATTAGGTATTGAAGCCCTTTCAGTCATTCTTCTCTTGCAGGTGTCTCATTTTCAAGTTAATATGTATTTTGATTACTCAAAAAGTCCCCATATACCAAAGGAAAAGGATGCAGAGTATGTCTAAACCATCACTTTGTGCACAAGAACTTTATGTCATAACCAGTGTTCCCTCTAAGCTGAGTTAGTGTGAGCTAGCTCACAATTTTTTAGCCTCCAGCTCACAGATTTTTGTCTTAGCTCAGGAAGGATGGCTCCAGAGCAAACTGATTTATGCAGTAGACAAATCACTGGCTCACAAAGCAGAATTTTTGCTCACAAGACTCCACAGCTTAGAGGGAACATTGGACATGTTTTAACTGGTCCCACAACAGAGAAGGATGTGCCTTCACCTTGTGGGAAGACATTATTTTGGTTCAGTCTTTTGCCTCTGTCAAACTGCTTAGTTCCAGTTGGAACATCATTGGATGAAAAGTACCAATTAAAATAGCATACATTTTTGTTGTAGTAGTAAGCACACTCTGAATAGCCTAATAATCCCTGAAGGCAGATCTGCTATTACTTCTGAAGAATGAGTGATAATGATGGCTCCCTCCCATTTATTTACTTATAGTGGCAGCGACTCTTCAGATAATATGATGGCCACTGGTGAAAGTGCTGTTTTTCACATTTTCTACATACAGGGATTGCTTTCCACATTTAGCTTTCTTTCTCTGGAACATCTGTACTTCTTCGATGGATCTGTAGCTGTTGTAGAGGACTTGGACATGTTTTAGGCTGCTCTCACAAGTTTGTTGAGTTTCATCTTTCCCTGTGTGAACTTCCCAGAGCATATTCAACATTCCCGAGTACCTGCATATTGCAAAAGAAAATCAGTTATAATGGCCATGCTTTTTATCAAAGATATTTATATGCCAGCGTAGAACATAAAATGAGCCCTTCTGGATTACACCAGTAGTCCATCTAGGGCTAGGCCAACATCCTGTTTCACACAGTCAACCAGTTGTTCTGGAGGCCAAGGACTCTGATGTTGCCTCCTAGCAACTATACTCAGAGGCTGTTGAAATTCCCTTTAGTCATCATGGCTAGTAATCATGGACCTATTTTCTATAAATCATGGACCTATTTTCCATAAATCTGCCTAATCCTTATGGCCATCACTACATTCACTGGCAGTGGATTCCACACTAATTACTCATTGAGTAACTAAGGTCTTCCTTTTGTCTGTCCTAAATCCGTTACCTATCAGGGGTTGCCCCTAAGTTCTAGTATTACAAGGAGGGTGGGGGAAGTTATCTCCCTTAACCCCATGCAT